CCCAATGGTCAAAGTCTGTATGACACATCATTTACACAATAAACGCATCAATTATGAAGTACTATACCTCAGTCGATAATGCAAAAATTGAACATTTAAAAGATCCCACGAATTTGAAACGGTCACTCATATCAAATTATAGAAGTCACTTGGTTATCAAATGAGATTTAAGTATGCCTCAACAGTCGCCAAGGACAGAATTCGTTTATCGTGCTTTTTTCCTCTTTAATTTATTCATTTTCGTTTGCAAACTTCATCTTTGTGAAGCATTTTGCATTTTCAATTTCAATAACATTTTTACATCGACTGAATAAAAAGAAAAAGAGAGAAGTAATGCAAGAATGAAAGCAAAAGAAATAAAAAAATGTGTAGAAACACATGTTACCAAGCATGGCACGTATACCAGCCAGCTGCAGCAATGTCTCTATGATTATGATGCACACGGGCCGGTCTTCCATTTGGTGTTGTTGTTGTTTTTTTTCTCTTTACGCTTTTACTTTTTACAAACGGCCAAGTGATCACTTTTCACTCGTCGTTTATTTCGTTTCGGAACCATTTGAAATTTCACCGCCGCCGCGGTGTCGTCGTCGTTTTTGCATTGCTGCTTTTGTGCTACAAAACAATTACGCATTGTCCTGGTTTCTCTTTCTCTCAATGCGCGCACGTATGCGCGTGTCAGTCAAAAAAGTGATTTTTTTTTCGGTTTGCAAGTAAAAGCGAAAAAGAATTGTTTTTCTTCTCCTAATCTGAGTGTCAATATAATATCATTAATACTATCATAAACGTAAAGCTTGTAGATGCATTGTGTTTTGTTTTTCTTCTTTCTACATTTTGTTCATGTGGTGTATGTGCGCGCGCATAATTGCAATATTTCTTTTTTAGTTTGTTGCACAGAATTACAAACATTAACCAAGGCGCAACCAAGAAAATCAACTTCAAAACAATCATTATACACCATTCAAATAAAACAACAACAACCATTGCACACACAAAAATTTCTCTAATGCTTATATTTTCGCCACTCTCTATTCATACAGACTAACTAAATTGTTTTTAAATGAAAAAAAATTTTTCACTCACGAAACAAAAGAAAAAGAAACAAACTGTATCAATGAATAATTCTTGAAATGAAATAAAAAAAAACATTAAATTGAAGAAGAAGAAACAAACATTGCAAACATTTTAATTTGTGTTTAGTGAATGGTGTGTTTTAATTAAAGTCACGATCTACCTTCAAGTCCATACGACAATCACTTTGATTTACTAAATACGAATCATATAGAATTGATTGGTTTCCTGTTTGACGAAGAAAAAAAACATGAAATTAGAAGATTTTAAAGGATCTAATGTCAGATAACATGTTGAAATGAAGATTTGCATTTCATATGTTTTTAAATTCATTTGGAAAATCGATTGATTTGGTTTGACAACAACAAAAAAAATCCCAAACGCAATGACATTGAGTTTATTTTTTCATTCATTTCAAAAGTACTAATTTAATTCGCGTTTAAAGTAAAGTTTCACATAAAAAAAAAGAAAAACTCACCCATAGTTGCTGTTCTCAAGCGTAAGAAAATCCGTATAAATCAACCGATCCGCAATACACCGTACAACGCAAGTGAGAGAGAGAGAGAGAGCGAGCGAGAAACGTCTCATTTCTGTGGTGTACGATTTTACGGATATGTTGTTGCACACGAAGATAATATCTATTAGATATAAAGTCTTATAAGACCAATGCACTTTCACCAGTTTAAAATCTATATGTATAGATAAATATTGTAGCGCGCTATATGTACACTATGTTTGTTATGTGACCATAAAGTAGATGTATATTACTATACTTCCACCGTATTTGAACATGATACACATGAGTGTGAGTTACCCGTTGGGGAGTCGACGATATAATCCGGGTGAAAATCGCATTGTCAAAATAGAAAAAAAGAGAGTTGAAGTAAAAAAAAGCGCACATCAATGTATGAAATTGAAGAGAGAAAAAACTTTAATTTTCATGCAAAATGAAAGGTTCGATGAACACGAATCTACCAAATGGGAATCAAGATATTGTAACCATTTACTCGTTCCATTCTAAACACGATCGAAAATTTTCCTTGATGTTGAAAAGTGGTAATTAATATGATATAAAGGGCACCTTAACGATTCAATGTATTTGTACAAATGATGCAAGAATGAGAAAGCAAAAAGAGAGCAGAACATTCAATGATTTCCTTTTTCGAAATGTAGTTTGAGAGGGATAGAGATAGGAGCAGAGAGAGAAAGAGAAGAATTTTATGAGGTGGTTGAACTATGTTGTCGACGTCAAGCCATTGAAACAATTAGCACAAATTATCATAACTATTCCCGGGAAATGGCGCGCGATGTCACACTCCTCGCGCGCCATCGTCCAAATGCCATTTCTATAGATCAATTACTTCGTGTGACATGTTGCGCACGATATCTACATGGCAAAAAGACGATGATAAACATTGAAAGCATGTCTCGTGAAATTCATGTGAGCTAGAGTATGTTTGTGTATGAAAGAGAGAGAGAGAGAGAGAGAGAGAGAGAGAGAGAAAAAAAATATATATATTTTCTTTAGGGAACGAAAATAGTATGAAAAAAGCATTGGAAAGCACGCGACAAATGGAACGGGAGAGCGTGAAAAATGAAACGAAAATCGAACAAAAAAAACAGCAACAACAAACAGTAACAAAAACAATCCCCTCGCCTCATAAACATTTCACTTTCAATTTCATATAGCGTGCACACTGCACATCCATGTCGCAAGCGCACATCCACATGCACAATGAGTCGCGCACATGCATGCAATTCATGTGGGAAGCTTTGACTACATGCACTTTTAGTCCATTGCCCACAATTATCTATGTATTTGGCAAAGTGTCGAAGTACACACGATCGTTCGTTAGCACGTTCACACTCGCTCCCTTTTTCGCATTCTCTGACTCTCTTACATTCGATTTGTTCGCTTGTTATTTACATCGGGATCACATGCTAAATTGCATCACACAAAAGATATAAGCAGTAAAAATGAAACCAAAGCCCCAAAAATGACTTGAAACTCGTGCATTCGTACGAATGATTTTTTTTTACGGTGCGATATTGAAAATGAAAAACTGAAACCAACTTATGTAATGGAAAATATACACATATACTGTGTCTCTCATTCTAAGTTCATTTTGTTCTGTTGTTTTTTGTTTTTCTTTCTGCTTTATGTTCTGGGCAAAGGTTATTCAAAGTCATTTCTATTTCTATATTCAGATAGAGGAAGGGTAGTGAATGAACGGAATTGAAATGCATAGCGCAAAAATATTATGTGCTTTTGTGTACCACACGCTATTTAATGTCGCTCTCTCTCTCATTCTCGCTCTCTTTATATATATTTACCATTTTCGACTCCTTTTTAACGCACTATATAATGACACACCAAAGTTGTCTATATCGAGCTGTACGACTATTGCATATAGTGTGCATATTTTGTTATTATATTTATCAAGCTTACGTATCTGAAAGGAGCAATATATTAATGCATTGCATTTTCAAATACATGCAACAGCATCGAAAACGACGTTTTTGAAGGTGCGCCATAATATTTTATAGTTTTTGCATATATTGGTGTGAGAGTTCTCTCTCTCTCTCCCTCTCTCTTTCGGTTTCATCGGTTTGTGCATATCGCTTCAATCCATCTGAACAGTTCTGACTTAAGTAAATTAATCACTTTCCGTTACGTGTTTTTTTATTGTTTTTAATTTGACATTTGTTACTATGTAAGCTTCAAATTCAATTCCATATTTCCGTTTTACGAATGAAACAACGTTCCGTCGAATGAAACAAAAAAAAAAGTGAAACATTTGAGAATGAAAACAAAAAAAAGAATGTTGGTTTTCCTTTTTTTCGACCATTTTTGCTATTTTACTTTTATTCATTCTGTTTCGTTTTGTATGTTGACTTAAATAACATTGTGATTGGAATGATTGTGGATGGTTGGTGTTATACGAGCGAATACGTACTTTAAGAGAAAGTTATCCCTGTTTACTGGTTTCTCAGCTCTATATATTAAAATGAATGTTAAAGTATATATATATGTATATCGGTAATTTTCAAGTCCTTTGGGTTGAAAGAAATGCCATCGAGAGCAAGAGTATGAGAAAGAAACGGAGAGAGAAAGAGAATGAGTTACAGAGGGAGGTAGCGAGTGCAAGTAAGTTCGAAAGGAATAAACGAAAAGGCACTGGAGATATACGTCTAGCCATATTGATCGGAATGGGTTGAGTGCAGCGTACCCATTTACAAAAAAAACATACACACAAAAACGACCAAAAGCACATATACATATACATGCGCAATGAATGCCATACACTTTGTCACATCGCTTTTCATCTAATGTGTATGACAAACACAATGTCACGAAAATGTCCTGAGAGTGTAGAAAACATGGAAATGGGAAATATATTTTTCGTCTCTTTTGATACGATCATATACAGAAAACTACTTAAACGCCACCACCATTACTGCCACCACACTATCACAGCGAACAATTGCTATGATTATTAGTAAAACTCTTGAAAAAGCAACCGCATCTCACACTCTTACATTTTACACCAATTTCATTTTATTACTAGGAATAATTAACCATTTTATAATGCAAACATTTTATGAAAATTCACCGAATGAAAAGAAGAAGAAGAGAAAAAAAAACCACCGAACATTTATGACCATATTTTATGCTCGTTTGTTCGGTGTTCGCTCTACTAACGATTAAAGAGGTTTTTGATAAAATCAATGACATCGTCTAACCCATTAAGACTTTGATTATATCTATAATACTAAAAAAAGAGAATAAAAAAACATAATCGAAATTTGGATGGAGAATCATGCCTGTGCGAGGAAAATTGTTTTATTCATTCAGACAAAAAAAAATATATGAAAACTTGATCAATTTTCTCTAGTCTAATTGCTTCATTTTTTTTGTGATTTCTTTTTAGTTGATACAGAAATACCGATAATAAAGCACTCATCGAGTCCACCAGCGCTACCGACACACAACCAGCCACAACAATTAACACATCAAAACCAACAACAGACACATCATCAGACCCAACGGAATCATCTTCAGACATCCCATCATCACCAGCAACAACAAAAACAGGTCAGACTCTCATTCAAACATTTTCTTTTATTAATCCTTACAATTCAATTTAGTGTTTTTCTTTGACATCGAGCGATAAACAAAATTTTCACACAATATAACCAAAAACATATTATTAATATTCGATTTCCATTCAATATTTTTAAATAGCAACAGCAACAGTTATCGCATCGACCATTACTGCATAACTTATTGAGTGGAACAGCAACACCGTATCACAGAAATTATTGTACATCGAGTACAGGTCAGTTGTTGATTTTATTTATATGATCTTTTTTGCATGAAAAATAAATGAACTGAATTTCAAAGGAAAAAATCTGTCAAATGCCAGGACAAAGCATCTCTTTCGATTAATCATAATAAAATCCAATGAAACTTGAATTTAAAAAAAAAGACGTGAGGAAAATTGCGTTAAATCATAACGGAAATTTGTTACGAAAATGGTCTGTGTTGGTATCTTTAACGCACTTTCATCATATGGTCCCAATTTATGAAGAATGAGAAAAAAAAACATGTTTTTTGTAACAAGTTTTTTCGTCGTTCAATCGAAATTTCTTCATCTAACAGCAACAGCATATAGACAAATTGCACATTTATTCAAAGATGCTGTAAAAACAATTTCTCTCATGTCCGTTTAAGAAAATCGAAATCAAATTTTCGGTTGAGTTTGGGTTATATTTCGGTATTACTGTTTCCAAAAGATTTCCAGTTTTTCGATTTAGTTTGTCTTTAAAAAAAAAATTATGTCCCTTTTGATCAAAAATCACGATTGTGTGAGATGTTGAATTTCCAGATGAGATAAGTTGCGCAGGGATGATGTTAACGACGAAGATCAAATTCACAAACAAACAAAAAGAAATTCATTGTAGTTTTGCATCAAACAGTATATGGTTTCGTTTTTAAAAGAAAATAGTAATAATAATAAAAAAAACCTGATGTATTTTCTAGTCTAAGAGAACATCCATTAGATAACTAATGCATAACTAAACTATGGACAATGAAATGATCGCACCTCATATTGCGGACTGATTATGTTAATCAGTTGAACGTATAGTTCATTTCGTCGATGTTGTAGTTCTTTGACTCTTCAAAAAAAAAAAAAAAAAAAAACAGAGACTCAAAAACCAGTTGAGTTGCCTATGTATATTTTTTGTCCATCGTCAATTTATTTCGGTTAAATTTTGACCATTGACAACATTATGAATACCGGTAGATAGTTTTTTTCGACACGGAAACCATTTGAAAAGAAAACCGAAAGGAAAAGAATGAAGAGAAGACATGTGCGCATTGTATAGATTGAGTCTCTCAACTGACGACGACATTTGTCCATTCACACAAAACCAATTTATTATGTACGGAACTGGTCAAGCGATGATTCAATTTAAAGACGTTACAACACACAAAAAAGACACACGTAACACACACACACGGGAAAACAGAGAATTCATTTAATAAACCCTCAATTGAGAACATCCCATTCATTTACACAAAATGAAATGAAAACATTCTCATTACATTTTCTATACAAAAACAAGCGACAAAAACAAGCGACAAAAAAAATCAAGAGAAAATAATCAAATTAAAAATATTGAAATATAAATTGAAATGAATGAGGGGTACGTGATTTTGTGAAAATTGGATTTTCTTCTCGTGAATCAAGCACATTCAGTACATCCGTTAATTACATGGGAGAATGAAGATCTTTATCAACGAATCATCGATTGGTGAACACTGATATTGAACGAAATTCAATCTCAATACACTTATTTCGAACGCAGTAGCGGAAACAAAACAACAACAACAAACTTCACTTTTAACATTTAATTATTGAGAATTCGTAGTATGAGCGTTTAAATTTTATGGGTCAAATATGATTTTTACCTTTTTATTCATGCCGCAAAAGTAGAAAGGGGAAAAAATGACTCGCTCATTACCCGCTCCTCTTCACAATAAACCGAATTGATGATTAAAAAAAAGGGGGAAAGAGAGATGCGAGCTGAGAAGTTGTTATTGTCAAGGGTACGAATTATTTACCCACAACACTAGACACAATGTGTGTGTGATGCTTCTGCTACTGTTATGTGTGCATATTCCGGCTTTTATAATACCGTACAAATTAAACATGTAAATGTGGTGTGACCATTCCCTGTTGAAATATATTAGTTTTTTTTAAAACATTGCCTAACGTATTTGTACACAAAATATAAAACGACGTGTATAAACGGTGACACGGTAGTTTGAAAGTTAACGGCGCCTGATGATGCATCCATGAGAAATAATTTATTCAAATTAATACAATATATATATATATATAATAATTCCTCTATCAAATGTCTACATCGTTTGATTCCTTTCCATGATCGGTCAGTTGTTCGGACAATCAAAAAATGCGCACACCGTCTATATATGTGTGTATTTGTTTTTTTTTTTTTCTCGTCTTGGTGAATGTACAAGTTTTATGTGGACGACAATATGCACAAAAATGAGTTCAATAACAAGTTTTGTCAACCCAAAAATAAATGGAAAAGATCAAATTTATTTTATTTTTTAATGTGTCGCTCGGCCCCGATTTTTGTGTGTTCCGTTAAGAAATTGACAATCAATTTGGATTTTGATTACAGTAAAACAAAGAGGAAGACTTGAAAAAAACAATCGACCATATGATGAAAGAGATAACGATAACAATGGAAATAAATTCATAGGATTTTTTTTTTAATTTAATAAATTGATTAGGTGTAAATTAAAATAGCAACACAGAGATATATATGGCTTCTGACGAAATATTTTTTTTTTTGCATTTTTTCTTGATTGTGCTAGTAAAAACAGAGATTTTTTCTTCTTGTTTTTTCTCTGTTTACTCTCAAACACCAGGATCTCTACCACCAAGTCCAGCCGATAGTGGTGTGTCTGATGTAGATAGTTCTAGTTCGGGTGGTCAACCATGCAGTGAGGAACTGAAAGCAAGATTGGGACTGCAACCGCATGTTGCACCACAAACAGTTCCTGGACCATTCCTCAATCCAAACTATTATCACAATCCAACGCAGCTTCGAAATATTTGGAACAATCGCAATGTTCAATGTAAGTACCGTTAAACACTGTCAATTTTGCATTTATTCGAGAGTTACCGTTCGATTTTTGAGACAATTTTCAATATAATTGGAAAATGTCTTTGTCAGTCTTGATTTTTCTCGTGGTTCAATTGAAAGTGACAAGTCAAAAAAATAGAAAAACAATTTAACATATAGCGAATTAATTTGTTTTATGGAATGTGAAATATTGAAACAATCGACACTTTTGCTGCTATTCCACGTGGTTATGAACAACAAAAATCCTTATAGTTTCCGCTATCACATATTACAACGAGATTTTACGGATGTTTACTACGTACGCGATACAAGTTTGGTGAGAATATTTATTTTTAGCCGCTTGGCTAGTATGCTTCACGCATATAATGTGTGTTAATTCAACATTTCTCTGTCCATGAAATAGATGTGTGTATGTGTATCGAAAAAAAAAAACAAACAAACAAACGGATTATCAACGTAGTATTATTTAAAGTGCGAAATACTGATACCGTATACTCGATGTGTCATCATTGTCATAGGTTCTTCCGATAAATTGATGGAACATCACAAATCTACATAAATCAAATAATTATCTAGAATACTTTATCATAGAACGAGATAGAGATAGTTAGTGGCATTTAATTTTTGTTTTTGCACATCGCTGTTTACTAAATCAATATCGCAAGCGGAATTGTTATTGTCAGTTAAGTCGACTGAGTGAACGAATGTGAAAAATGGGAGTGCGCGCGCACAAGCACACACAATCATGGTCGGTTCGCTACCATTTCTACGCAATACGATGAATGCCTTGACCACACACAACACATATTATTATTTACTTTGTCTCGTTTTCTCTTCGCAATTGTTTCGGTTGTGTCCGAAATTTCGTCGCACAACATTTTTTTTTTCTTCTTTTATTTTTCTTGGTCTTATTTCGCTAAATGCTGCAATGTACTAAATTACGTACTATTGTTGAACAATGAAAAACACAACTCTTTATTTCGTGAATCTTTTTATGGCCTCTACTTAATTTGATCGTTCATTTGGCAAGCCACTCTGTTAAACTATGGTGCAACAGAGCACACGAAGAGAGAGAGAGAGAGATCGTTCAGCAGAGAGACATATTTTATGATGATATGCAATATCAAAACAACGTATTTTCGTTTTCAATATGAATCGCGTGATGAAGCTCGGACGATATGTCCACTCGTCTCTTGCCCATCTATCAAATGAGAATAGCTGGTGTTTTGGCCGTTGCATTCAGACTGATTTGTATAGCAAAAAATCGGAACAGTATCATAAATTCATGCACAAACACAACCAAAATATGTTATTTTTAATTCGTCGTTGTTTTTTCTTCTTCATCTGCTTCTTTTATTTATTTGCGATAAAAATTATTGCATAGATAATGTCAAAAATAGACATTGAGTATCGGCGAAAAGAAGAATTTTAACCAATAAACATTTAGAAAGAAGAACAAAACACACTTCTATATACAAAATAAATGTCTGTGTCAGATACACACACACACACACGCCTATATAAAGTGTTGATGTGTGTGCAAGTGGGCTTTTTTTAAAGTCACGGATGATATGCGACCGAGCAATGCAACACAGTGCCATTTTCGCTGATTTGTAAAATGAAATCGAAATTTGCGATTTCGACTTTGAAACAGAATGTAAAACAAAAACAAAAAAAGAACCAACAAATACACAGCCACAATTACGGCACATGTGTGTATACACTGTACGTAGTGTGCACACTCAATATATACTGCAATGTATGTTTGTCGGTTGTGTGATAATTTTTGTACAAAAATAAAAGCGGTAGTATTCGTACTTCAATTCAAATTCATTGCAACAGAAAAAGAATCGAGTGTATTTGACGTGCACACACACACACAAACTCGCAGTTTGATCGTAGAAACCGCTTCTTGTCGCAGCCTGTGCATAACTATACATATGATGAACATTATATCGTTCGGTGTTTTTGTTTCGTGTATTTTTCTGCATATACATTCATTTGATTTATATGCTGATATATGATCAAGTACGCGAATTCTGTCTCGCTCTTGCTCTCACAAAACGTCAGCCCAAGTGCTTTGCTAGCGATTCAAGGAAGTTTCTTTTACAAATGAAGAAACCTTTTTTCCGTTTAGTGTTGTAAAAAAAGAGAAACACCTCCGGTTTTTCCACTTTAAAGTGGAACATTGTGTTTTTTGTTGTAAGTTTCGAATGCAAGTTTAGATACTTAGGACAAAATGAAGCGCATAGAATGACCGATGCCGTCAAATAGGAGAGAATGAAAAAACACAATTCATTCTTTCGCACCGATATGTATTTGATGGTCGGATATATAGATATATGTATATGAGAGATTCTATACAGATTCCATCATTTTATAATGTATTCAATTTTTCATTCGTTGCGTTTTCTTTTGTCTTTCGACTTTTTGTTGCTCGCATCATATTTTAACCTATATTCATTCGTTTGTGCACATTTTTGTATGTATATGCACACATATGTGTATAAAATGTGTGTTTTTTTCTGGTATTTCTAAATATTTCCTTTTCGTCTTGGTATATCGTAATTTATTAGCTAAAAGTATTCGCATGTATAATATTGCATGTTGATCATGAGCGCACTGCTGACAACCACAACGACGACGACAATGTCGTCGTTTATATATATATGTACGTGTAAACAGGCACAAAAATTAAGTGATGTGCTCACCACGATTGGCCTTCAAACAAGCATTTTTTGCATTAGAGTACATTCTCCTTTGGAATATATTTAGCTAAATGCAATAACAGCACAAAATATCGCGAGCGCGAGCGCACAAGCACACACATACACACACCATACTCACCGACATCTTCGTACAAATTCGACAAAATAACACAAAAAATAATAAGGCAGCGAGACATAAAGAGAGATAGAATAAGCAAAACGAGACCGGCGGCTAGAGAGACAGAGAGAGAGAGAAAGACTGAACGAAAAACAAGACAGTATCCAACAGAAAGAAGAGGAAAAAAATGGCAAATCCGGTAACGAAGACGACGATGAGCCCAACTCTCAATCATGAAACTGAACAAAAAAAAATTATTACACTAAGAGATATTCGCCTAAACGAACTAAACAACACCAACAACAATAAGAATAGTGAATGGATATGCTCTTTGTTTTTGTTCGTATCTTCATATTTCGTGATATTGTTAATGAGTGATGACACACTTTCCGAAATGGCCTGCCATTTTCATTAATATAACCTATTAAACACACAATTGCTTAGATGTTTAATCGCAAAATAGTGGATTTTTTGTTCGTTTGTTATATTTTTGTCTCTTTTTATATCTTTATTCCGCGCTCTCGCTCTCAATTATTTTGCAAAAATATTTCTCACTGCAACTAATTAAATTGATATACACAAACACAAAGTCACACTGCATATAATTACATCGAATTGATACCCCCAAATGCGTTGAATCGATATGCCTTTCAGCTAGAATAGCAAGTTCCATCCATAAGAAAAAGAACAAAAAAAAAACGTACGTTTTTTTTCACACTTCCGCTGCGAATATCTTTTCTATCTTTAGTTTGATGTTTTGCATTTTACGAATGGGAAAAATGAAGAAGATTTCACAATTATGGCATTTTAAATTCATATACATTATGAAAAGTAATTTTCTTCGGGAAAAAAATATGGAAGTCATTTCGAATGCTTCAAATCGATTTCGATTGGGAAAATAAACGAACAATTCCAAAATAATCCATACATCGATCAATATGTGATCAAAACAAAAATCAAAGTTTTTTTTTTCTTCTTCAATGAAATTATAGGCATTTTCTCGTTTGCCGATTGAAATTTTGAAATAGTATAAGTGCAACGAATGCACATCGATTGAACATTAAATCGAAACGAACAAAAATTTTCAGTTCAGTGCTAGTTGCATTCAATTGCAAAAATCAGCAATAACACAAAGCATAATTGCTGAGTAAAGAGATTCCGCCTAGGAAATGCTTGCATTCCTGTTTTGTTGATTGTTCGTCCGTCGTTTCGATTCTTTAGTTTTATTTGTTGGCGTTTGTTGGTTTTTTTCTCTCATTCCGTTTTTTTTATAAAAACTTATTTATATTGGGTCGATACTGAACCGTATTTTCCGCGAATAAAGTATCATTATTTTACTTCGTCGTATAATGTGTACAATTGTTTCTACATCTCTCCCACTTCCTCTCTCTCTCTAATTCATCCTCATATGATTTGTGAAATCACTCGGCGAATTCTTTTAAAAGAAGAAATTGCATTGAAGATAATGAATCTGATTCAAGAAATAAAATTAAATAACACTTGACTGCCCCGGTCGCAAAAGGAAGTGATATTACTTCAGCGAAGAAAAAAAAGCATCAGCAGATGATGATGATGATGATGATGATTAAGGAAAAAAACACGGCACAATATTAGCCTATCAAATTGTTTGCAATCGGCAAGCGCACGAATTAACGAATATCGTCGAATTGCATTGTATGTATGAGTGAACCTGTGGATCAAATACGAATCGAAGTCACACCACAACAAAAATACCAAGAAGAAAAAAATAAGGATGTGATACGAAGTAGAAAAATATGAAGAGTGAAAAAAGTAACAAAAGAGGAAAAAAAAATCGCACAGCGAAAAATAGAAACGTCATCGACAAACAGGCGAGCGCATCGCTAAATACATTGCCTTCTCATACATATAGTTAGAACAGCAACGCGCGCGATTATATTTTTCCTACGCATACATGCACACAAGGAATGCTTTATTACTGTAACTTCATCACAATCATTCGCCATTCCTCAAACCACATGTGCTTCTGTTGCTGCTGCTTCTGCTTAGTCGTTCTTTCAGTGTGTTGTTTTTTGTTCTTCTCCTTTGCTGTCTTCTTTTTTTTCGTGCGCTTTTATATTGAGTAATATATATATTGCATATAGCTTCGTATAAACGCAAATACAAGAACACATAGAATATTTGTTGCATGATCAGTAAAAGTGGTCATCGACACATCGTCTTTGCACGTATTCTGAAGGTCACATTATAACAAACGGTATAGATGCACATAATGTATATCCAATGCACAGGCGAAAATAAATATATACTATAATACACAAAAACAGCAACAGAGCAGCGAATATACTTCAGCAAATTCAATGCGAAACAGAAAGCGCAATGTGTAATGTATGCGAGGTGTATGTGTATGTAATTTTGTGCGCTCTCTGTTTGCTTTATTCGACGATACAACGAAGAATGACTTTTTTTTAAGTATCAAAAAGAATCATTAGCTAGAGCACGATCGCAAGGAAGAGAATTGAAAAGAACGAAAATCGGACGGTCGCATATATACTCGGTCTTTTAAAAAAAAAATACGAAATGAATACACAAAATGAAAAAGAATGAAATAATGAATACGATTTTCATGCTATTCGCCAATATTCGTTAGGTACACGTGAACATTCAATTCACCGTTTTGTTTGTATGTCTTCCTTCACTCTCTCCTCCTCTTGCATTTGCAGTTGCTCGTTGGTTTTTATTTTTATTTTTTTATATTGCAATTTGTGTGCAAACATTTACGGAACATCTTCTTGACATTCAAAAGTACACGGAATATGCCACACGATGAAAAAAATTCGATTTAAATTTGTTTTGAGAGGCCAATGCGCAAGCGACAGAATGAAAGGAAATCATCACCTGATTCAATCGGTAGAGCAATCTGTGAGAATAAAATTTTCTTTCTTGACTTGTTGCTTAAATGTATTGACCACGAGAAAAATTATAAAAAGAACAAAAAATATGTGTTATCTATATTTACTAATTGATTAATTTTTTTTCTCTCTTTTGCCTTTTCTATATATTCTTTTCGTTTTATTTATGTACAGTGCCGGAAAATTATTATCCACATTTGATAAATGGTGCTTACAATCCATCGCACTTTCAAACGCCATCGCCAACACGAAATTTTCATCACACACATCATAGTGTAATTCAAACACCAACATCCAGTGTCAACGATGATTTATCGTATATGATTGAATTTGGTTTGCAACCCCGACGAATAAAGAAGCAACGCAAGCCAAAAATTGAAATGGGTGTTAAACGACGCAGCCGAGAAGGTTCGACCACATATCTGTGGGAATTTTTATTGAAATTGCTACAAGATCGTGAATATTGTCCCCGTTTTATAAAATGGACGAATCGCGATAAAGGCGTTTTTAAATTGGTCGATTCAAAAGCCGTGTCCCGTTTATGGGGTATGCACAAAAATAAACCGGATATGAATTATGAAACAATGGGACGAGCCCTACGATACTACTATCAACGTGGCATCTTAGCGAAAGTCGATGGCCAACGTTTAGTTTACCAATTCGTTGACGTACCTAAAGATATAATCGAAATCGATTGTTCAAGCGCGTAAACCAAATAATATTTAAAAGATGAAAACTAAACAGAAAACAAGCAAATGACTTGAAACGAGATATAGTGTTCTTTTTATTCTTATTCTTCTCTAAAATACAAAAAAAAAAAAAGAATTTATAGAAAAGAACACAAACAAATACAAATTTTTAAGTTACACATTGAGCTAAATTGAGAATGAATTGCTCTGAAATGTATGTATATAAATATTTAAAAACAAAACAAAAACAAATTAACAACAAATTAAACTTATAAATGTTTGGCGCAAATGAATAATTTGGAAAACAACAACAAAGCGGAATGAAAATTTTGAATTAGAAAGTTCTCACAGGACTACCTCAGATGCTAAAGATTGTATTCTCTGTTTTCGTGTTTTATTTTTCGTTTTAATGATCACACAACCAGCATAGAGAGATAAATCTATGAGTAGCCCTAACTCGCGTGTTCGCAATTTTATCCTTCCAAATCAAATGCGAAATTGATTTTTGATTCGATTTTTGACCATATAGAAATATATATAGGTGCCAATTTTTGGCATAGCGTTAAAACTTTGTACAAAATAAACACTTATTTCAGATCGAAAATCAATTTCTTTGATTCTGAGTACAATGAGATTTATCGTCGGAAACGACATTTCGATTACAGCTCAATCGGAATCAAAACAAACGAAAAACAATCCTACAAAACAAAAGTTTGATTTTTATTATACAAACATAAAATATCGAGGTAATCTTGCGTTCGGAAGGAGCTATAACCGTTACTTTTGAGACATTTTAATTCATGTTCGAAAAGTCTGAAATATATGAGAAAATACTTGGAACCTTTTCCAGTACATAGACAAACAAAAAAAATACAAAATAAAATTTAAAAAAAAAACCAAGCGACACAAATAAAAATGTGCTTTATAACGGCATGTAGCATTGGTTGCATACAGCGTCAGAAAAAAAACCATCGAATCAAATCGAAAATAAATATGTTGATATATATGTTTTAACAATATACAACTTCAAAAGCACTTACAATTAGTGTGATTCTTTTCATGTTTTTTAGTTAATACAAAATATAAAAAAAAACTAAATAAAATATAAAAATTTATCAATGAAACAAATGAAAAAAATAATGAATAGAACACATGACGTGAGCTAAAGCGCAGGAAGAAGGAGTAAGAGTGTGCGATCAAAAAAAAAGCGTCAAAAATAAATGGCATAAAAGTTACAAAATAACACATAAACGTATGTGTGTTTAACGCCATGCTCAACAGACTTTTATCTCTTTCTGCTGAACAGCCGCGCATCAACAAAAAACGGAAGAGGAGAACATATTTCATTAAATGTTTTGTGATTATTTCATAATAAATATATATATATTCGCCGAAACGACATTATTTATGTTAGTGTTAAAAAATAGTGTTGTTTTTATTAGATGAAAAAAAAAATACAAGTGAAGATTTTACAAATTTTTATCCGTCAAAGTTCAAACAAACTGTAAAACAAAAATTGTAAAAGTGCTAAATAAACTGCTCCATATTGCGCGATCCGTTTCTTTTCACACTTTTTTTTTTGTTGCCATTTCTATCGAGAAAAGTTACAATAAAATCTCGCTTTTCACGTGCAATAACAATATGATTGAGATTTTGTGAGATGTTTTTGGCCGAATATTTTACATTTTAAATATAGAGAATAATAATAACAACATATTACAAATATTCTCATATTCACCGTATTGTACAATGTTAGTAAACTTCATAGATCAATTTTCCCGACCAAAATCGTCTTTTTTCGAATGAATCTGGTTTTTTTTGTTTCAATTTTTTTAAACCAAAATCGGGCCGCGGAGCAATTTCATCATTTTGAATGCTCAACATTGAATTAGACGCGATTCTTTTTCTTTCGTTTTAAAATCATTATTCCGATTGCACCATTAATGCGAATACACAAATTAAATTTGAACTTTGGCATAACGTTTGTTTTTCCCTTCGTTTGCGCAAAATTTCTGGCCCAATAATTATAATGACGCATTGGTCCCAAGAACTCAATTTTCAAGTGAGAAACATTATTGCGACTATTGATTTTTGTCTTTTATAAAGCACATATAATATATATCTATCATTTGATTGATAACGAAGAAACATAGAATATATTTTGTGTGTAAAACAAAATGAAATTGTATGTCTTACTAGAACAACAATAATGATATTGATTTAAATGAAAAATTCACTTTACAAAATATCTAATATACAAGAAAAAGTGTAAAATTAATACTTAAATTTTAAATAAGTCTCTTTACTTTCTTCTTCATTTTTTTTTTATATTTGGAATTAAAAATACACAATTGGAATATATAAGCAAACAAAAGAAAATGTGAAATTGAACGTTTGATAAGTGTATTAAAAAAAATATTTAACTGAAAATGAAACAGCAAGCATAGTTAGATGGTAGCGTTTAAGTCAATACAAAACAAGAATGACAGAAGGAACAAAGAAAAAAGCAGAACCTTTCAAAAGAGCCTTGAGAAATGATATCAAAATAACAACCATTTTGAAAGAGTCTGTGCTTTTTTTACCCAGCGATTTTGCAAACTCCCAAAATAAATTAACACTTCAACAACAACAACAACAACATCCACAGTATTCAAATATTGTTGCCCAAAATTTTTGAATATTTTATTAGTAAAATGAATTTCTAGAAAAAATGAGCTCGTTCACATAAGTCAATCGAAGCGAAAATAACATGTTCAATCACATAATGATCAAATCAATTTCGTCGTGGAAGTCCAAAATCTCCAACTACTATTCTTATAGAAAAAAAAAAACTAAATCGAAGAAAAATTGAATTCAGATTGTGCATATTTCCAAAATGAAAACAAAGAACAAATGCAATTACATGGTTGCAATCGATGCTGTGATAATTTCTTCTTTGAAAATGGTTTCGTTTGCATGGAATTGCATATTTTGTATTTTTAGATAAACAACACCGATGGAGAAAAAAAACTGCTCCAATTTGATTTCGAATAGATTTTAACAATGTTGAAGTTCTAGGTAGCATCACTTAAAGAAGAAGAAAAAAACGCACTTTTCCATGAATCAATCGTTTTTGTCATACTTTTCAAAGCAGTTATGCAACAATGCCAACAACAACGAAAACAATCCACTTGTCGAAGCAGCGAACTATTTCAATTAAAAATAAAACATTTATTGTGATCGTTTAATCACACCGTGATGGAATATGCAACCCTAACAAAACGACCCAAATGCATTACGTGAGAAAGAACATATATCTATAGAATGAAATTAAAAAGTATTTATATGTAAGAGGAGCGAGTTTTTAAACCTAAAGCCTCTGTTGCATTTGTTTGTTTTTTTATAAACATAGACATACATGCAGCATCCTTGTATAAAGTATCTAGCTAGTGTGAGTTTATAAATATTTTTTTTCTCTGTTTTGTTTTTTGAAAAACCTCCCGTTCAAAAAAGTGTCTGGACCGCATTGTTAGATATGACCTAAAATAAAGAAACTTTGATAACATCATTAAACGCAAATTACCCAGCAACTTCACATTGGGAAAAACATTCTTTGATTAGAAGTTTAGCATGGCTGTCAATGTGGTACACATGAAAGTATGTCACTTCGAACCTGAATAGAATGGATATATGTAACACATAATAAATTCTATTATGACAAATTCTAATAACAATAAACTTTCATGATATTTTAAACAAATTATATTTCAAAATCAACCAAAACCTAGGTGTATGAATTATTTGATGATATAAACGATCACACATTTAATTATACAAAAATTAATGTTATATTAGTTTTTAACATAGGGTTCTATATTACATATTTATCTCAATCAAAGATATTTGCTAAATAATATTCATTTTTTTTTTTTTCAATTTTAATTTTTGTTTTCGATTGTCGTTTTGAAATGTGTGCTGCGGATATTGCTATCATGAGATAAGCACAGATCGATCGCAAGTTTTCACGTGTCCTTTCCAATCCAAATGGAAATAAATGAAACGATAAAAGATAGTTTGATTAAAGAAACATCATTGTTCTTCAGAGACAGTTTGAAATTATAAATTATTTTTAACGAAAGCGAATTGAAATTCATACTTTTGTAACAGCACCATAATTTCCCAGCCACAAACAGGACTTTGTCACATTTTTCATGGCATCGATTTTCTTTGAGTTTTGAATGAAGCAATAAAGCGTTAGTTTTCTGTAGTATACTTTGATTAGGAACTTAAAGTAACATGTAGCAAGCTAAACAAAAAGTGTAAAACATCTTCCGTTTATTATCAAACAAAATGAATTTCTATTGAATAGTTCCATCTGATTGGCGCCTTACTATATTGTTCGATTCAAAAGTCGATTGATTTGAGTATGTCGTTTGGCTCTCTTCACTTGATTTGATTTTATGTGATTATTCATAGAATTCTTCTGTTGACTGTTTGTTTTGTTTTCATTTTTTTTTTTTATTCTGTTGTGCAATTCATTTCAATAATAATTATTCATATGTATGATCGAAAGAAAAGAAAAAGAAATATATCCAAACATATATATTCAGTTAATGCACCTGCACTGCCTTCCTTGGAAAAGGTTTTATTTATTTTATCTCTATATCTATTCTTATTTTGATTTTTCCGTTTTGTATTTGAAGTTGTTGGTAAAATAAAACGGAAAATAGAATGAATAATAAAAGAGAAAAATAAACATTACCAACTGATAAACTCATTCGATTGCTGGCCGGAACGAAAAAGAACAAAAACAAAATCTCGTTCGTGCCAACTCACATTTGTCCAACTGATACTGACCGGTTACACTAATTGCACAGAAGCATCATCATGGCAATGATGTTCTCGCATGTGGTTACAACATGGATACAACAAATAATTTAAAAACAAAAAAAAAGAAACACATAAATGAAAAAGAAAAGTATACAAATTAGTTTTTACTTTTAAAATGACACTTGTTAAATAAATAGTTCATTCAATGTTTTTTCTCTTTATTATCATTATTAATATTATTTTTCCTTATGTAATAATTTGTAAAATTTGTATAATATTTTTTTTTGTGTTATTTTTTAAGTTGTTTTTACTTATTGTTCAGCAATTCCAAGTTCAACAAAGAATCATCATTGAATCGAACATCTTCTGATCGCCAAACGTATGGATCAACGATTACGTTGTCTCATGTAAATAAAATAAATAAAAAAAATTGTCTACCGCTGACGAGGCGGTCCGGAGATGTTTGATTCAATGTGCACACTTTTGATTTAATACGGAACTACTGTATTGTTATTATTATTATTATTTAACGTTATGTAATGATTCTATTGAATAATAAGAAGACATAAACAAAACAATCTTTTTAAAAGATATAAAGAAACGTGGTGAGCAAAATGATATATGTTAAATTGATGAATTATATAGTCATACTTTATCGTAATGGAATTGTTTCTACTTTCATTTTGTTTTTCTCGGCCATTTTTCTATCTATCTCAAAATTCTGAAAACAATTGTCCCAGCTCATTGACCTCCGCTCTTCTTCCCCGAAATAAGAAACGGACAAAAAATCAAATTGTTACACATAAAGTAAAAAAACCCTATGGATTCGAATGAAAACAAAAAATTGTGAAGAATGTCGTCAAAATTTAGTTAAATCGATACATAAAATGATTGATAAATAAAAATATAAATTATTACACTAAAAATACGATATATATTATCACTTATACACCATTATTTGCATATAAATATTCGTCGAAAACAAATGTAAAATTTGCCCTCCCGTCAAATATTTCGTAGATAAATCGTTTTTCTTTTTCTCGATAAAAAAATAAATAAATATATAAATATATACGGTCTCAATTTTGAAGGGATCAAAAATTGTGACAAAATTTACAAGTCAATATGATTACCAGCAATCGTTTACTTTTCGTTTCATTCGCCGGGATTCGAAGTATGAAATATTGAAAGGGTTGATGCCAAAAAATCAAAATCAACCTTACTCGATTCTAACTCGGTGAATTACTGCGTTAAGCTAATGATTGATCGAATTCCTCCACAGCCGTCAGTTTATTTTATCATCATTTTCTCTCTTTTTTTTTGCAAAAGCAATAAATTTTAAATGCATAACTTATATCGATACCATTTTTTTTTAGTAAATTCGTGATTTTCAAATCCAAACAATTCGTGAAAGAGAAGAGTCAACGCTCGACGATTTTGGTTTCTTTTCAATTTCACATTTTGCAGCGGGCAAATATATTTGGCACCGGTTTCTATAGATTAAATATGAACAAATGTTGTTCTTCAAAATTACAAAATGAAAAAGAAAGATTAACAAAAATTAATTTCATTTCAAAATAATGACTATTTTATTCCTCCTTATTAAGGATTATACCAAACTGTGCAATGATATTTATTGATGGTATAATCAAATCATATATATATACATAATATATTTAAATAAATGAATAAATAAATTTAAAATAAAAACCATGTCAAAAAGATTTGCTAATGAAACAACAAAAAATCTTGAGAAAAACAAGAGTATAGGATACAATTTTGATGGTAAAATATTTTTTTTTGTGTTATTGTAATAGCATAAATGTATTAGAAAATTAAAAACATTTGAATTAAACAAACAAAAAAAAAAACACACAAAAAATGAACAACTAAAAAACAAAACCCTAAAATAATGCTGAATTAAAAAACGAAATTAAACAAAACAAAAAATAAACACAAAAAAAAACAAAATTGTAATGCATATGTAACGATCAAACTATGTTAAGTGTAAGAATGTATGATAATCATTTCGTTTTTTATTATTCGAATTGTCGCAACAAAACAACAAGAAAACAAACAAAAATCATGGATTTGTGAGAATTCTGAACGTATTATTTTTACATTATTATAAATATATATACATAACATTGATAACAATTAATCATTTATTTTATTGTTTTATGATTAAGTTTTAAAGTTAATTGCGATGAGGTAAATACAAACAGAATTGATTGACAGTGAGAATGTTGAATTAACAAATTGAAAATGTATGAAAACAATCTGATGATGAAGAAGAAGAAGGATGAAATGTAATCCGTTGGATTCGTTTTTATGATAATATTTATTTTTTGGCTTCCACTCATTGTGCATTGTGTGGTACAGTGGAGAGCAAAGAAAATCAATATTTATTTGTAAGTTTACTTATTTACATTTAAAAATCGCCTCCATTTTTGTTTACAAATATAATATAAATTGCACTATTAAAGCGATTGTATGTTTTTCTTTAAAAAAAAACTATATGCCCGAGTTCATCTTCATTTCTCCTGTCTGCTTTGATTTTAACCATTTCTTCACTGATTCAATTGGTCTTCTTTCTTCGAATGATGTCCTTTGCCATCGTACTTAAAAAGGCGTGCTTCAACAAAGCAACTTGAGCGGTATATGGTAAGTCAATGCTTTAGGTACTGAGGTATGTCTGTGTTTTCGTAAGAATTTAAACATTTCCAGAAAAAGAAAACACATTTTTCAATCAACTAGTGCATGAAACACAATATCTTCTTTATGTTCGATTTCAATGTCAAGTTCATTTCGAATCATAAAACACCAACAAAAAAAAACACTCATTAAATAATCTATAGATTAAATTGATTTATTTTTATTTCAACAGAAGTCGCGAGTCGTATAAAAATACATCCTAAATTTACAGTAAAAAAAGGTTACAAAGTTCGATCATTGAAATCGAGTTTTTTGTTTCAAGTTCATTTAATGAAGCATATCATCTAGACATAATTGTTCATATAATTTTTCATTCGGTCAAATGAAACAATGACGTTTTTATGTGAATCTATATGCGACTGTTATCTCTGAAGGATACTTCAAATCCAAGTTTATCTGTATGTGCTGAGGCCATCATTGAATAACTGACTGAAATGCATTTAATTATTTATTTTGATTTAATTTCAATTAAAATATTCGAAATAAATATCTATTATCATCATTATACAAAAAAAAATTGGCACAAACATTCAATGTGTTTATATATAAAATGATTATTGCTATGGGAAGCTGCCAATGGGACACGATTTCCAGTTGAGACCGTCTGCAAATTTAAACGAGACATTTAATTGATTAGACAAAAACAGTATGATAATAATATAATCAAGAAATGGGATTGAATATAATTTGAACGGTCATAAAGTTTACCTGGTGTTTGTCTCCAAATCGATGCTTCCGCATTTGGCGCTTCAGTCGTTTGAATTACATTATTTGGCGTGTAGTCTTCTAATGTATGGATTTTATCATCTTGAATTGTTTGATCGATCATTGAGGTATCTTCATCCAAATAGATGGCAAGCAATCGTTCAATATATTTGGTTTGAGTTTTATTTAAAGCCGGCTCAATAAGTTGAACACACCTAGTGAACAGGAATGAAGAAACATTATGCGCTTGGAAAATAAACACTTGAATGAAAATTAAAATAAACAATGGTATGGACAGATGGAAATAAGACTTACTTTTTAACAATATCGACCGTATATTCATTGATGTTTGTGGAACGTTCGATGAGGAAGTCACAGTCAAATTGAAGCGACCATGGGCGCCGAACTGTATCGCCAAAGATTAGTGTGCCACGATAATTAACACCGAGCTCTTTGTAGATCTTTTTAATGTCATCGGTCATAATGTCTGTGTTAATTGGTGCCATATCCACATCAAATTTGGAATTCTGCAATTAACAATGAAAATTTAAGAAAAACCAAATTATTGCGATTTTTTTTTGTTGAATGAAATGTTACCTTTTCCCGTTTCATTTTATACAGCATTTTAAATTCTTTGAAAACTAAAAATCCGGTTGCAATTTCGTTGGTCCAAAAACTGGCGGCCTTTTTTAAATATTCATCCTCCAATTCATCTTCACAAATGTTGAGCATTCGCATAAAAAGGGTGTTGATAAAATCACAAATGGCAAGCATACGAAATAGATTTTGATGAATTCCGATAAATTTGGATTTTTCATCTTTGTTTGACGTTTTATAATGTTCAGCCGAACGTTTCATAAAATACTGACATTCAAATAAAACATCACAGTAGATTTCGGCATCGCCACGATCCCTTTCATTACTATTTGATAGCAATGCCAACATATTTATGGATTTATTTGCAATGAATGTTAGTTTATTATTACGAAATTGTTCGGAAAATTGTTGTAATCGTTCGATCGATGCATGATTAAGCCGTTGATCTGGCAATATATTTGTTAAATCGTCAATATTTTTACAGCCAAGAATCAATGCTTCCGTTGCCGTATCATACAAATCGAACCAATCACCAATTGATGTTTTCAATTCCAATGAACTCTTCAAATGAACATCGTGCACCATGGCATCGGTGATGAAATTTCGTTCACGTTCCCAATAAAATTCACGCATCCAATTCATACAGTATACGGTTGTTCGACGTAAAATATCCAATGATGGCAGCACCTGACCATGTGCACATAAATGCCGTAAATCAACTAAAAACGGTTCGATGCCCAATTCACGAGCCGTTGAATACATTGATTGTACACGATTGCTACGCATTATTGATGACATATAATTTATAAATCGAGTGAATGCATTTGAATACATTGATCTTAGTTCATCGTCAGAAAATCGACGCTCCAATTTATCCTTCAATTGTACATTTAATATTGACAATGTACTTAAAATACTGGCCGGTGTTAAATTGCCTCGACGCATTTTCCATAACTTAATACGATATAATGCCAATTTTTTGCTTTCATCATTACTATTTGATCCAAATAACCAATCGTACACCATATCAAATTCCTCTCTGAAAATGTCAAACATGGAAAATATGTGTGATTTAATGGTTAGATTGTCAGTTTTTAGACATTTTATTTACTTACTTATTTTTCCATGGTGCAACACGACTGATTACATTTTCGTCATCGAAATCCATTACACTTCTATTCATTGCAGTGATTTTGAGCTGATTTTTTGAGTTAAATAACTTTAAAATAAAACAAAACGAGACTGATTCAAATGTCAGTCACATTTACTGCACTGCACGTGTACGAATGTCAGAATCAACACAAACAAGCAACAGCAGCCGCTGGCAGTTGTACAGTTTGATGAAAACCTTATAACGGCTGTAAGCAACATCAAGCAGAAGCTTTGAATTGAACTTTCAGCAAAAAGGTTTTAGCTGAACAGAATGACATATAAATTCAGGAGAATCACATTCCATCGAAAATCTTGTTAACTAATTTTGTGTCGCTAACAGTTGTTGAATCTTTTTGTTTTTGTCAATTTGTAATGATTATTTTCACTGGGATAATTTATAAATCCACTTCAACATTCAATATGAAGTAATTTTGGAGAACTGAGCCGAATTCTTGAAACAAGCAATCCAATTTACAATTTACATGTATTTTCTTTCAACAAGTTGAATTATCCATATTTTTTTCTTGGCTAGTTACAGAATTGCCAGTTTGGTGAAACGCGCTTGTGCAAGAGATGAAAAACATTGAAAACGCATCGTAACGCATTCGCGGACCAAATCCTTTCAAGTTTTGAGAATGCGATACATTGTTTTGAGCAATATGTTTTGCGTTTCTTGATAGTTGAATTATTAAGTGGAGCTGATTTTGATGGAAAAAAGTCGTTTCCTTTTATTTATGCACCATGTGTGCAATATACACGCACTGTTGCTCGAATCGTTATCATTTGTTGAATAAAAGTGGGGAAAAAAGAGATAAATATGTGATTGAATTCAAGTACTGCAAAATCCGTTAATGGGATCTCTTCAATAAATTTGTTTACAAGTGGCCCTAGAATGTATTTCCAAAGAATTTGTTGTTATTTTGTGATTGATAATATCATCAATAATATTTGTACGCGAATGAAAAAAAAAATATTGAATAAAAACCGTACAAACATTTTTTTGTCGGCTCACGTATAGAACTTTTGATACAACCAATTTCAATTCATTTCAATTTCATGGTAAATTTATTTGCGGGATATAGCCAAAACCACGTCACTTGTATACGATGTAATGGGATTTGGTTTGGTTATTTTCAGTAAAAAGCATTGGGTTTGGTCAGTTATCTCGATTCCTGTTTCATTGTCATTTTCACAGTGTGCGTGAATGGTGTCGCAATGATAAAATATTTCATTTTCATTATTTAAATAATTGGAGGCCAGTCAGTTTTGTGGATGAGGGAAGTTTTTTTTGTGTCGTATTGTATTCAATTCATTTCGACTCCCTTCCATACTGCTATACCAAATGATTACGTGATAAATATCCCTGACAGCCTCGGTTTAGATGTTACAAGTCATTTTTTTTTTCACGTTTAAAAAGAAGTCAACACAACCGATTGCAACATGTACCGCACGCATCAACGGTCAACATTTTCTTTGGCAATTTTTATTTCCCCTGTTAAATATTATAATTGTGCCAAACCAAATAAAATATTCACCATGGCATGTCGAATTCAATGACACATTATAATTCACAAATGGGTCGGATTTTTTTTTTTAATGCAGACGATGCGGAAATGAAATTTACATTCGCGGCGATGTGATGACAGTTATCTTTGGTCGCAATTGTGGAAAAAGAAATGGTCGTTGATATTTCGTGCATCTTTTGCTTACGAGGAGAAATTCGTTGACCCGACTCCAAACAAATTTCGAGTGTAAATTAGATTTATCCATTAGCTCATAATCTCATCATTCGCCGTTCGTTCTACCCATTTTCAAGGGTATCCTCTACTGCAATCGAGTATAAATACGTTGAATTCCAAAAATTCATTCGTTTACAACGAAGATTTCATTTTGATAATAAATCTTGGCAGCAGTGCAGGAAATTCTTCCCTTTTTTTGCTCAAACCACGCGGCTCGTTGTTTATTGTTATCTTTAAATATTCTTCTCTACTTCTTATTTTTTTTGTGTACGGTAGACGGTTAGATGAATAATTGATTTTATCTATTTATTCGCGGCTTTTGAATTATTGGCATTATTGCTACTTTTATCATCATCATTTCATTTTGGGCTCAAGTTAAATGAGCCGAATTCAATGTCTGCTTGAATCGAAGATTTTTTTTAACATTACATTTTCTGACATCAAAATGCTCTAAAATTTTTAAGCGTTATTTGATATTTTGAACGTTTTCATACCATCTTTTCTTTTTAACCTCCAATTCTTATTTATTTGTCAGGTGCATACAGTGTGGGCAACAGTTTGTCAAATTGAAATGTTCTTTTACTCCCCGGAGGGCGATTTTCAAGTTTTACCTGCTGCGACGATGGTGACGACATACGGAAACGATATAAACTAAATGGAGAATTGAGAGGAATGTATTTGTTTGAATGATAAAAGGGATATTTTGGTAATGTTAACGTTATGTTTTCAAATGGATATTCTCTACTTTGTTAGTGCGTCCCCGTTTTTTTTTTGCTTTAGAATGGATATAATTGTCCTCCATTTACTTCATAGATCATGTAAAGTGGACATACTCATAATCAGTTTTCTGGGTATAGATGGTAATTAGCTCGTTGAATGGAATTCATGTGAAAAGTCATTTTGCCCAAATTTGTTTTAAATTCGCCATAAAGAAAACTGCACCGTGAAATTGCATATGTCATCGTACCTCGGCATTTAAATAAAATGTTTGAAATGCTGACTGTTATATTCAGTTCTAATGGAATCAAATAAATGTTTGCACATTATTCAGTGTAAAATGCGAAATGAAATTCTGAAATTTCATTAAAATTAGCTTTGAGTTATTTAACGGTGTGCCAAAGCAAAAAAGGTCATTATTCTACGCTTTCGGATGTTATCCAATGAAGTTGTGGCAACCATGAAAACTTATGAAGTGAAATGTTAAAATTATCGCCGTTCTACATATTCAAAATGTATGACTTCAACTATTATAATGTCATTTAATTTCACATGGTTCGTCAAATAACAAGCGAAATATTGCAAGAAAGACGAATTGCCTCACTATTTCATTAGTCAGTGTGCAATCCATTCGCGAACAAATGAGTTTAATTTTTTTTTGAAACAGAATTTTCATCTCAAAATGTCACATTATAAATTGGGATTAATTCAAGTGACATTTATAATTTATGCAAATGCATCAATACACTTTGCATGATGCCTATATACATGAAAAAAATATGAAACGCATTCATATCAGGCAGTACCAAAAAAATACTGGAATGGAAATAATGAAAGGTTCACCAGTTTGATGATACACATTTATGTTTGTGAACACATTTTTGATATGCACAAACGGAAATGTTGCCACACGTACACAAAGTCAGATTGAATAAAGCTCTGTGAACGTATAATGAAGTTTTACAAAACGTCTACAACATGTGTTATAAGGTGAGAGAGATTGAGAAAGCGAGAGAGAGAGAGAGAGAGAAAGGAAGTGATAGAGTTCGACAGTTAATTTAATCATTATGGTTCATTAATTATGCAAGTATCTTCCATGTGTTCATCTCAGCTTACTTTTGATGGTGCTACTAATGATCAAAATCACTTTTGCATGGAAACATGCGTGTCTCCTTATCGAATAGATTTATATGTTTTATTTCTTACTTTCTCTCTCTCTCTCTCTCTCTCTCTCTCTTTATTACTCACATTCATGATTTCCACTCTGGCAAGTAAATGTTCCATCACTTCATTTCAAATTGTTGTACGTGTAATGTTCAGTTCGTTGCCATTCTAATTTCCAAGACATCTGATATACTCTATATAAAATGAAAATGCAATTAAAACATTTCCATTGCAGTAGCACCACTGGCAGCTGAGTGTGACGGAAACTTCATATGTTTTGCTTTAATTATAAAAAATCTTTTCCAGATACTCTGGCACTTACAGCCATTGTTAAAATTAATTTAAACATTTGCTAAATTGTACGAATATCATATGTGTACTCTGAAACTAAAAACATCTTTGCAGATGGTAAAATAAATTATACTATCAATTGATACACATTTACGTCAAAAATCTTTTGTTGAATTTTAGCACAATAACAAATGGTAAAAGAACGTTTTCTCTGAATGTAGACTGAATGTAGACATCTTAACTACCAAAATGAAAGTGTGCATTCACAGTTTCACGTGGGTGTATGATTTACATGATTACTTTGAAATTTTCCATATGTATTGTATTTTTTTCAGAGCACATTCGATTTCAATTTAATATTTCAGTTTTCCAATTTAATATTTCAGTTTTCTTAACGCTTATCTTTCGGATTTAATCCCGGTCTTGCCTGAAAACGCATTTTTTATGAATTTCAATTGAAATATTCAAAGAGCAATTAATTTTTCACAATACACATTTATAGAATTGAAAGTATATCGTGATCTAGGGAAAAGAATATTCGTTGTGTGGTCGGAATCAATCAAAAAAAAAAAATATGTAGGATATTTCAAAATGCTAGATAAAATTGAATTGAAAGTTCAGTCGTTCCACTGTTACCATTTTCTTTATCCGATTGACGTAATAACGGATACTGGGAACAAATATCAAATATAACTTACTCCTTATAAGCATGTGGGTGGATGGTGTGTGTGTTGTGACTATTGTGATTCAAAGGAATCGCACATATACTCTAGAATATCTTTGCACAATCTCATGAATGGATGATATCATATGTTTTCGACATTCAATCACAAAGTTCAATCGAAACCAAATACACTTGTGTTTATTTGTTCATGGTTTTTCAGTGAAAGCCATTTCTTTCATTTTATTTGCCATGCCATGCAATGGCATACACATATCTATATCTTTAAAAATTTTATCATATACTTTATTATTGTTGCATACTTGTTGTCGTTTATATGTTATCATTGCCATTTGATAAACAGAACGGAGTTTTTCAGTTATCTTTTCTCACTGTCTATCACTTTTCTTTTCGTGGAATTCATGACCATTGCATTGTACTGCGGGACGAATATGCTTAAACCATGAATATGCAGACAGTTGACTTTATCCACAAAATGTTCAACTTTAAAAATGGATGCCGCCGAATAAACACGCATACACAAATTT